CCAGAGGTTTTCCCATGGTTTTCCCGTGGGAACGGTCAGACTGTTTGGCTCTCAGCCGGTGTGCCCCGTAGTCAGCTTAGCAGGGGTTCTGGTGAAGCGACCTAAAGCAACTGTAGTGGTTCCACCTGCGTCTACCTGTAACTTCTGACTGTACATGTCCACAAGCGCTACCCTTTTCGCTTAAATACTTGAAATGGAAGAGTGTAGCACAATCCGCAATTACGAAATTCAGCTCCACAAGGGCTGGGAAAGTGAATATGGTTGCAGGGGAAAATTGAACATTATGTCTGTTATTGCATAACCATTTCAAAAAACGCAACACCCATACCTCATAGATGGGTCATTTCTGAAGGGAACTAGACGTCCGGTTTTAACAAAGCCACAAGTGCGATTCACCACCCACAAAAACTAGGCGAGTCCGTGTACTACCCATCATTCCCATGGTCGCTGAAAGATCATAGCTTCAGTGCCTATTCTATTTAATTTTAGTGAACTCTATGGTTCAAGTATTCGTTGCAATAAGGTGTGAGAACATGTGATTATCATATAGGACTTCGTGGTTTAAAGCCAGTTACCCACTAGAAATGGCACACACACGCGCTACTGCACCTGTTTCTTTAAGGCAACATAGTGAATGCACAAGTTCAAATAGGTGTCATGTCCTAAGTATTTGAAGCATAGAGTTTCCTGAATTTAACTAGAGGGGACACTGCATGGTGCTACGATCGTTCAGTGACCATGGGAATCATAGTTGTGAAATCAATTTTCCTTGTCTTCGTGTTGCCAGTGGCAAACGCATTTGTGGCTTCGTTTATTCCTGTGTTTTGGTTTTGTTTCGAAGGAAAGAACAAATCATTTTCTACTTTGTGAGCCGATTTGAAGTGGTAAGCCTAAAAGTTTAGGGTGGTGAAGCGCAACTGCTGAACATTTGCTGATAGTTGTTTCGCGACAAACTCCTTCAAACCGCGGGAAGCCAAAAGAAACGTAAAGTACGGAGACTATAAGGGAAATACATGCCCTACCCATAATACGATGGACGGATGGATGGATTGATGTGGCTGTACCCTTTAGATCAGGCGGTGGCTAATGCAACCTAGCCGTAATACTTAGTGAACCAACATCTTGATTTAACCTTTTTTTCCTTTAATTAGTGAAGTTGAGGACCGGTACTTTGCTGATAAGAATTTATTTTCACTCGTGCCTTGACTTTAGCCACGAATCAGATAACCTCCTTCTAGTTATTTCTACCCGCTTAAAGCCTATTTTGACCTCACTGTCCCTAAACGACTGTACTTTGAAAAACTTTGCGCCACCATCCTTAACTACAGGGTGAAGCCCTTTACAGAACATTATCAAGTGTTCGGCAGTTTCCTCCTCCTCTCCACATGCACTGCATACCATGTCTACCCCTTCGTATTTGGCCCGATAGGTTTTGGTTCGCAATACCCCCGTCCTGGCCTCAAACAGTAGAGAACTACCCCGAGTATTATCATAGATTCTTTCCTTGGCACTTTCCAGCTTAAAAGATCGAAAGCCTGTGCTACCTAAAGCACCATGTGTGAAAGCTCCCATAGACACTAGCGCCAAAGTTCCCTCTGGTCTATATTTAGGAAACTGCATGATTTGAATTAGGAACAGAAGATCGCTATCGAGTTCAGCTCCTAAACGTCAAACTTTAGGGTCCCGTAATTATTTTTTTTTTGCATTTCGTGTATTTCTGGGGCTGTTTTATTCAGCTGAGAAAAGCGAAAATTGTCTGGCTTGATTTTAACACAACACAACGTCAAATTAAGTCGCTACCAGAACCACCGAATATTCCACAGTGCTACAGCAACCTATCATTAAGATATGAACAGGAAGCTTCACGTGAGCACTGCTTAGGTGTAGACTTTGGCAAAAAATAAGCACAGACTGCAAAGGGATGAGATAAGCACTGGTGCTGCGTCATCTCATTGTTTTCCACGCTGATTTGCGTTGAACTCTTCACCTTGACAATTACGCACCCACAAAGCCCAAACGAAGTTTTCTTGATGCTTCAATACCGTAGGACGAAAATGACGCTTCAATAAAACTTTATTAACAATATTCTAAAACATTATAGCCTTACTGGCCATGCAAATGGTTCAGAACATGAGATGGCTGGCGAAAACGCAATACAGGGCGTATGTGAAAGACCGTTCAACGCAGCATAGGATTCCCTCTCAGGCGAGTGAATCCTTGTCTTGACAACGGTCCTGCTGAGGCCGTGAAAGTGAGCTTGCTTGAACTACTTCCTCCTTCCAAGTCTTCCTCCGGTGATTGTGGCTGCTGTGGATCGTGTAGGATCAATGTAGACACAGGCAAACACTTGGTAGTACAAAGAAGCACTCCGCTTGCTGAACAAGGCGTAGTCATGCACTCTTATCACGAGTTCCTGCATGGTGTTAAGAGTACGTTTATTTATTACCAACACTCCCAGAATATATGCAAAAGCGACGGAGACGAAGTTTTCAGAAAAGGAGATATGGCATGCAATATTGGGCGCTGTGCTTCAAAGCAGCAGCGAAGCTTGAATGAACATTAATTATGCGTTGCTCAAACATCGAATCGTAGCATGTCTGCTTTCTCAAAGCTCACTGATTCAAAAGTTGGCACAATCGCGTCATATGTTAGTTATTCACGTTAATAAGATAGATAACGGGGCTAACCTGCTTCACGGGGGCATCTCGCACCAGACGTTCCACATCGCATTGGCTCCTCCGATGTTGGCCTGGATGTGGTCGCGCATGGTTGTCTCTTGGGGGACCGCCGTGCCAGAAACCGCGTGGCCTTGGCTTGCCAAGCCTTGCTGCGCCTGTCGAAGTCGTCCAATCGCGGCGTCTTATATAGGTTTGCTGCGCCATCGCGTACTCGTCATCCCCCACTCCACCTTGTCTGGAAGCACTTTCTCTACCGTCTTCTTCAAAGAGATGGAATGGCAACTGAGAGCTCCTGTGGCAGCCTGGTTTCGTCGTCGCAGTCAGCGCTGACAACTCGTTTTCTGATTGGTTCCCCAGACGCCTTAAACACGCGCAACGTGGCGTCGAGCCTCGTGCCACACGTGATTAGTCGTGTTTGCCTTGAGCAGCATTAGCCATCTCTGAGAGCAATTCTTTCTCCTTGTTTTTCTCAATTTGTAAGTATTCATGATATGAAAGTGAATATGCTATAGTGCCTAAATATAATAAAACACCAATGTTCACTGATAGTGTGTGACGATAGATATACAAATGACCAGGTGTCACTTTCAGTTTTGTGAAAAGTAAGGTGAAGAAACTAGTTTTCGCACTCTACATGCTCAAGTATAAGCTGTTTCATTCCTGTCTCAAGCACGTTTAATGACAATACTGAAGGTGCAAATACACTGCAAAAATGGCACGTATTTACGGACATAAAAGCGGACATAGCGTTCAAGAAATAACCACACTCCAATCCTTCGCGAACATCAAGAATACAGCATACATTTAAGAATCACAGACTTCGCCACTTCGTGAATATCATGGATTCAACACAGGTTTACCAATTATGTTTTGCTGAATAGTGCAAAAAACAAGTATCTCCTTTGTCAACAAAAAATAAACGAAAGTAATCATATGCAATATGGATGATCTCCAGAAATTTATACTAAAATGGCCGTCACATACCATCCCCGCATCCATCGCAATGACGTGTTCTGCACCACGTTTGTTTACGAAACTGTATTTGTTCCGAAACGGCAGTTTAGGCGGGCATCGCGGCAAGAGAAACCATTCGACCGCGGCGGGCGCATCGCCATCGTCACTCAGCCATCGGCAGTCACTACTCTAGTCACTAGCCCGACTCCTCTCCTCAACGGCTAGGACTCGCACAAGAAACGGGACCCGGCTGGCGCTGCTTTTTTTTTTTTTTTATCCTGTCTGCATCTTCAAGGTGAGTGCCTAACTGCTCATTTATTCGCCGTTTGGGTTGCAGCTCATTCCACTAATGATCTGTGTCGTGTAGTACCTACGCAATATCTGAGATCAGGCTGCTTCGAGTAAAGTCGAGGCCATAAACGCAGTGCTCCTTTGTCGATGTCGGTTTCGCGCGGCTTGTATCATGCATGCTTTTTCTGAGATGGAGTCCGTACTGAGAGCAGAAAATGCAGCATTTTACGGAAATCGCCGATTGATTGTGTTCGTCGTGTTTACAGTTCGAGCGTGACATTTCATTGCGCTCTGATTACTCGTCTGTAGCAGTTGCATTACTCTATGCCAACAGTGTTCGGGATTGTCAACGCCGGGATTGTAAACTTAGTAGCTGTCAGCATATCAAGGGCCTACCAGATATGTCCATTGCACTGATGCCTCAGGAGTAGCTGATGGTGTAATATTATGCCTGCACTCACATCTGTGCTTTTAAGAGCACTCACTTCAGGTTTATCGAAATCAGGTGCATGCCACGGTGCGATGATGTGCATATCGTAATTTCTGCCAGGTAAAACAGCGCTTCATTGTAGCTTGTTGAGCTATATGAGTAGATATGTTTGTTTATTACATTGTTTTTAACGAGGATAGCCAACATTGCAAACACTCGACATTTCTCCAATACGATGCCTGATTAGTCTTTTCTGGAGCATTTACAACCACTAGTGTGGTTATGTACACCACCTGGAACTCTAAGGTTCAAATGCAGCCACAACTATGGTATTTACTGTATCTTTTCATTGAAATTTTTCACTCGTTGTGAAGCTGCTGCTATTGGCAACAGATGTTCTGTTGTACTGTTTCCTTAATGCTCACTCAGAGATTTCCAAAGTGGATTCTTGCTGTTTCTGGGTTAACATAGGAAGTGAATCACATGTGGGTCATACCCACATACCACAGGCAGTAGTGTGCAGGTATGCACACAAGTCACAGATGAAAAACGTTTGACATCGTATTGGGCAAGCATGTCGCATCATTTATGTCATGAGGCCATAACACAGCTGTTACAATGTCACACTCACTATTTATTCTCTATGACTGATTATGCCACAAGCATCATGGTATCCTGATGTTGCAGGAATTTGTGTCACCACATTACCAGAAAAGTCTCAAGCACCATAATTTTCGCTGCATCCCCCACTGCCGATTCTGGGCGGTTCAGCGTTCTCAGTCCAGTAACATGGAAAAGTGACAGGTGATCAAGCAGCTCATATGCACACCCATATCTTCATTTCATGAGGCTATAGTGCTACAGTCAAAATTTCATATTCATTGTTAATGTTCTTCCACATTTGCGAGTGTGAAACAAACCTGCACCATGTAGATGATGTTTACTTTGTTGTCGTTATCTGGTTTGAAATTTGCTTTCGACATTAGACATTCAAAACATAGCCTTCAAAAGTTTACCTTTGAGACCCGCAGTTGTAATTTTTGTGTTGAATATACACTGGTAACCTCAGAGCCATAATAAGTGCAAACATTTAGGGCTGGCAACCTAGCAAGAGTATTGTAAACATCTTTTATCTTGTTACTGTGTTTGACAGCATACCAAATTAGTCAGCTAGAGTTCGAAAAATCTAAACAGCACCCACAAGGGCATCCAAATTTGCGTTCGTAGTTTAACATTGTTTCAGTGGGATGAGTGGCAATGCGATGAAGAGGTTTGTATAAAAGGTCAGCAACTATACCTTTGATTTTCAGAGCACATGTTTGGGCCACTTTTCAACTAGTAAGATCAGACCCATTATTGCCAACTTGTATAACAATTACGAAGCTTAATGTGTGAAGAGTAGCAGCTTTCCTGTTGCAAGGCAAGGCCCCTAGGTGGGAGTTCGTAACATTATTTTCAATTATCAGTGCAGCTTTAGTAAGTTTCATCATTTGACACTGGACTTACTGGCCTTTTTAACTGTACACATTTGTTACTTGACATGGGCTCTCAGGTCGACGCATATTTCTGTATTTTTCTAAAGCTCTTGATAGAGTTTCTCACTACATATTTTACCAATACAGCAAAACATTCCTCTTGATGTGCTTGCTTAGATTGAAGACTTTCTTTTGTGCAGAACTCCACTTGCATCTGTTGAAAATGACAACATTACTTCTGCTTACGTGACATCTGGTGCATTCCAAGAAAGTGTGATTAGTGGAGGCCTGTAGCAAGAAGGGTGCCCCAGGGGTCTGTCCCCCACCGAGATTCACATGTTGTAGGTTGTCCTACTGAGCATAAGTAATGAAGACAGTCATTTTTCATAGCCATCAACATCCGCCCCTCCCACCCAAAAAAAAACATTTCGGGCTACGGGGCTGTTTCTTTATGAGTTCGTTATTTCTTCTTGTTTGTTTCTGATACACTTTGTTTTTACCTCGCAGTACCTGCATGTGTATGAAATACAGGATTTTTCAAGAAATGTGTCCAATACTCTTTAAAAATTAGAGAAAGGAGGTACTTGCTTGCTAGTTGTGGAGTTACTTTTCCTTTGACAGAAGAAATTTTCAAATGTGTACGAACATTAATTATGGCAGTAACTATAGGAATCATGACAATTACTTTTTTTACCTGTGATAGTAGCTGGTAGAGTCAAATGGCCGAATTCAAGTGCTCCTTACAAAAAGTTCATAGTCACTTTGAAATTTCGCAAAAGCAGCCACTGGTAATCACCGTGTAGCGATGCAATCTAGCTAATTAGGTTGGGGAATAGAAAACAGATGCACCAGCCACCATATCTACCATCAATTTCGACAACGCCTTCATGACAATACTGTTTCTCTCGCCGTTATGAACCGTCGATTTAGACACTTTGCTTCGTGCCCACTTGTCGACGCTCACTTATTCTTCTCCCTAAGTGCAAGAGAAACAGTGTTGTCATTGAGGGCATTGTTGAAGTGAATGTTAAATGCAGTGTTTGGCGTGTCGGTTTAGGTTTTGCCAGCTATGCACCGCTCTGCGGTGATTACCAGTAGCTGCTTTTCTCAAATTTTAATCTAGCAACGGACTATTTGTAGGAAGGGGTTCAATTTGCCCATTAGACCTGACCGGCTTTTCATTATCGTCATCATCAACCTAACTACGTCCATTGCAGAACATAGGCCTCTCCCATGTTCCGCCAGTTAACCCGGTCCTGTGCTTGCTGCTGCCAATTTATACCCGCAAACTTCTTAATCTCATCTGCCCACCTAACCTTCTATCTCCCCCTAACTCGCTTGCATTCTCTGGGAATCCAGTGAGTTGCCCTTAATGACCAGTGGTTATCCTGTCTATGCACTACTTGTCCGGCCCATGTCCATTTTCTCTTCGTGATTTCAACTATGATATCCTTAACCCCCATTTGTTCCCTAATCCACTCTGCTCTCTTCTCGTCTCTTAAGGTTACACCTACCATTTTTCTTTCCATTGCTTGCTGCGTCGTCCTCAATTCAAGCTGAACCCTCTTTGTAAGTCTCCAGGTTTCTGCTCCGTAGCTACGTATCGGCAAGATACAGCTGTTATATATCTTCCTCTTGAGGGATAGTGGAAATCTACCTGTCATAATTTGAGAGTGCTTGCCAAATGTGCTCCACCCTGTTCTTATTCTTCTAGTTACTTCAATCTCGTGATTCAACTCCGCGGTAATTACCTGTCCTAAGTAGACATTGTCTTTTACAACATGAAGTGCACTATTACCTATCTCGAAGCGCTGCTCTCTTCCAAGGTTGTTGTATATTACTTTCGTTTTTTGCAGATTAATTTCAAGACCCACCTTTCTGCTCTCCTTGTCTAACTCCGTAATCATGAGTTGCAATTCCCGGCTTTTACCACAGGTTAAGTATTTAATTGTGCTACTTTCTATTACTACTGCCATAAATAATGTCTGTATCTATCTGAAGATGTCTTCTGCCACAGGAAGGCAATGCCGCATGTAGCACGCAAATACCTCTTTTTACTAATTTTCAAAAAATATTTGACACATTTCTTGAAACACCCTGTATATCTGTTGGTGTTATCTATAATGAGTCATTCCTTGCCAAATCGTCTAGCGTTTTTCCGACCATCATGAGTATGGGTGATAAAACTTTCACATGTTTCTCAAAGTGCGAAACTCGTCCTAGTCATTTATTTTTGTTGCCAAAAATTTTCCTCCCCATTTATTATTGGCCAAGTGAGTTAAAAGTCATCAAGCAATAATTTTTTTCAAAAGCCGTTTTTGGAATGCACTCGATAAAAGACATTTATATTAGTTATCTGACTTCAAAATAATGACTTACTTATGTATATCAATTTTTTGAGGGATTTTTCTACGAGCAATATTGAATAATTTTGCCAAAGTTGGGATTGTTCTCCGGGAACATGGGAAGTTCCAAGGACACAAATAATGTATGTACTGGTGGCCTGTCAACATGCTACAAATTAAAAATAATTTAGGCACTGATGTTATAGCAGATAGTCTGAAAACAATTGTCACTTTATTTAGGAAGAGCTCTGTATTCAGCACCAAAAACTTGCCTTGATAATCGGACTAAAGATATGCACAATATTTCATTTTAAAGCTCTATGTACAAGCTATTTATAGTTGAAGTTACTAGAGGGTAATAATTTTTAAATTTGAAAAATATTTTTTTTAATGATGTATCTGCACCAGCTTTTTGCCTACATATTCAAGTGACATTACACACTTGCAAGGGCAATCTTCAGCAGAATCCCACTGACCTGGGATACAGAGAGCAAATTTGGTGCTTTCTACAGAGCAATTTAAACGGGAAAGGGGTTACCATCTTCATTACATTGACTACAGAGGGGTGCTACAAGGACTGGGATCAGTGTGGTGACATACGGATAAGCCATGCAGCTTTACAGATATAAAGTCAGAAATCCGAGTTTCCTTGGGACTTCTGCATATGCAGTTGGTGCGTTTTATACACTTGATAAAAATATTTAGTCATATTCAGTACATATGTCTTATAGCATACTAGTAGCATTGATGCAGTATACTGATAAACGCTATCCTAAAACAAGCGTTTCTTATTTTTCTAGCTGTCAGGAGAGCATCCTACTTCCCGAGGCCCAAAGCCTGTCTTATGAATACAGAAGCGAAAAAACAACTTTATATTAAGAACTGGTAGCTAAGCCGAGAGTCTCATTTATGTTATGCCTTAGGGAGTATTGCGTACTGTATACTTTTTAATGGCTTGATGGCTCATCTGGGAGTCATCACCACTGGCGTAGCCAGGAAGGCAGGAGGAGCTGCTTAACTCTCTTCCCCCCCCCCCCCCTGCGCAGTTCAGGTATTTTTTATCGTAAAGGCATGGGTTTGTTCTTCTACTGTGATCAGTTTGTGACTGCCTAGTTTATGGATGACTCAGTAGAAGGCACTAGTATGAGTCAGAGACAAACAGACGAATTCATAGTTTACCGATAAAACCCTCTTAAGCTTCGACCCACACATCATCATTCAATTCGTGGGTATACTGTGATTTTTTTTTTACGCGTGCATACCTACGTTCGCACGTAGAAATACCCACGAATGTACATAAAGTGTGACCGACATTGCCTTCTCCTCACACACCGCCCCCACGCGAAAAAAAATTTTTTTTGCTACGTTACGGGTCTCAACACTGGCCACATTCATTGTAGCACACCTCTCATGGCAATCGAATGCAAATGATAGCCCCATTCCTATTTCAATTGCTCCACATCAAGCTTGCTGTCTGTACCTCTGTGGTACAGGTCTGTGGAATTTTGCTGAAAATCGCTCTTGCGAGTGCTTCATGCCGCTTGAGTTATTTGGCATGAAGCTGCTGGAGCTACATAAAAAAAAAATACTTCTCAAGTTCTAAAGAGAATACTCTTTAGTGACTTCAACGATATTTAGCTAGTTCATAGAGCTTTGAAGTGAAGTGTTGTTCATATTTTTGTCCGACCATCAAGGCAAGCTTTTTGATGCTCAATACAGAACTGTTCCGAAAAAGGAATGAAATTCACCATTTTTTCAGACTATCTGCTAAACTTCAGTGTGAACATTGCTTTCAATTTTCTTTAATTTGTAGCATATCAAACTGCTGGTCACCAACACATATTTTATTTGTGTCAGTATTTGCCATGTTCCAGTGGAAAAATCCAAACTTGGCAACATTATTCAATATTGCTTGTGAAAAAAGCTCTCAAAGAATTGATATACATAAGTAAGTCATTATTCTTACTTAGATCACTTCATTACCTTGCCAGAAATGCCATTTATTAAGTGTATTCCAAAACATATTTGAAAGAATTGTTGTTTGACAACTTTTACCACACTGTGCCATACTACAGGCTATAAATAGTGCCGTACTAAAAATAGGGAGGACAATTTCCGGCAATGAAATTAAATGACTAGGACAAATTTTGCACTCATGAAACATGTGAAAATTTTTTCTGCCATATCCATGATGGTTAAAAAAACTGTTGGTGATTTGGAATGGCATGACCCTAATTGTTGTATTGTGGAATACGTTGAATTACTCCTTTGCCTTTTTTGCCTCTACAAATATTGCTGACCAATATTCTGGTGTGTTTATGAAGTTGTGTGTCCTTTCAACCATTTCACTCTGTATGATATGTAATAATATTATGTGCGAACACTTATTTTTGTGCTGCAACCCAGTGCCACTAACAAGGTCTGTTAGGAGTCTTGAAACAAAATAAACTAATAATAGTGCTCGCACTGTTTTTTTGCTCTCTACTCACATGGTGTGGTAGTGGCTACAAAACCTTTTCCCTCTTTTTCAGAAAAGAAGTGAGTGCTATACTGTTACAATGCGAAAACAACAGAGGTGCTTATGGGTGTCTGGAAGTTATGATATTCCTTCTTTGTATTATAAATTCCAGATACAAAGATGCTGAATAAAATCAATTTTTGACAATTTTTGTTCACACAGTTTGTAGAATGTCTGTGCTGTATTTCGTTTTAAGGTCATGGGAAAATAAAATTCGATTTCAGTGAAGAGGAAACTTGTCCTTGTTGGTTTTTAAACATTTGAATTCACTTCGTAAATTTTTTAGCTTGTGCAGGTCCAGGCAAAAGTTCCCTGGTTTCTGCCAAAGATTAGTTAGAATAGTGCCCTAGGAAATTTTGAATGACTTTGTACTTGCAGAAGATAAGTCTACTTATTACGTGTGCATCAAGATGAATCTAATGGAAACACGTTTGTTATTTGCCTATATGTAGCATTGGTATTATGAATAATGTGTGAGAAAGGGCCGTACGAAGCAGCTGTCATTCTGTTGCAGCCATTACTTTATTTCTTCATTACAGAGTTCTCTTTGAGAGATAAACGGGCCGTACGTTCCATGTGTTCTACAATACTTGTGGTCTAATATTTTCCTTTATGGAAGTTGCTGGCAGCATGTTACCTACGCCTTTTTACATAATCAAGGAAAATATTTTTTGCAGTGTATATAGAGGATGATGTTTCACAAATAATTGGACACTCCTTCAAAGGCTCTGACAGTGCCTGGTGTTACGTAGCGCCAAGTTTAGCACCAAACAAAAAACTTGAAGAGGGCCTTTAGAAGCTATGATCTCTCAGTTCAGCTTTCGGAAGTACAGGAGGCCTACGAACTGGCGAAAAGCCATGGTCTGTCAGTACCGGTGTGGGCACAGCCAGCAACTTCAGTGGACTCCTCTTTGCCCTCTCTTTATGGGGGGTGTCTGATCGGGGTCCTCCAGGACCAAATAAAGTCATTTCACCTCAACTCATGAGCAATCCATGTATTGCTGTTGTAGTGCTCAAGCTGGGGCAAAATATGGCCTCAGGAAAAGCACTCACATCAGAGTTTACCATCTACTATTGATAATTTTGCCTGATTAACTATGCAGTTAGTTACCCATAGAGCAGAAGGAGATGCATGCAATTCAAATTATTTTGTAGGAATTTTAAAAGAGAGAAATATGAATACCCACTGCAGTGTTTTGTGAAGTGTCATATAAAGGATGCCATAAGAGCTCGATGGCATGGGTTCTGCTCTTGGTCATGGCAGCCGCTATTCGGTGAAGATGAAATGCGAAAACACCCGTCTACCTCGAAAAAGTTTGCGTTAAAGAGAATTGGCGTAGCCTCAATTGATTGTAAATTTCTCACAGAGTCCTGCCTGATAAAAATGGTTCTAAACTGCAAACTCGCAAAAATAATGCAGTTCTTCTGTTCCAAACCCACGATGCTCTATAATGCACGTCGTTGTTTGGGACTCAGGCTTAGTTTTGACCACCTGGCGTTATCTGCAATGTTCAACGTCATGCGATTCTTTGGTATGCACAGCTCGCTAATTTATTATCATGTCAACAGTTTTGTCTGATGCGCTGTCAACGTTTATGTAGTATGCATGTTCAGAAGTTGGCATTGCCGCACATGACTCTGAAATGACCTGCATGACCAAATTGAACTCTGTGGTTTAAATTTAACTTACGGTTGACTCATGTGGTTTATCCCAAAGCGACTACGTCATGGTGGAGAGTTTCGGACAATTTCATGCACATCTCACAGTAACGCCACGAGCCTCTGCGCTCTCCTCCGGCAAAATGTGACCGCTTCGGTCAGGATCCACCCCCATACTTCAGGCCAGATGTTGAGCACCCTTAAAGCTGACCCACCGTGTCCGCTGTTATTCACTGATTATATCGTAGCTTGAGAGCCACTACCTGCAGGCCTAGTGTATTTCAAATTTCGAAATATGGGCTACTTATCCGTAAACACAATGGGTTAACGCCACTGGAGGTAATGCAAGAAAAACAAGGAAAAATCTCAATTGCTTAATTATTGTGAGAAGTAGTAGAAAGCGTGAGAAACATGCCGCCAACACTGTTGCAAATTATAAAACCCGAATGAGGCTTCAATCATATTTTATTAACAATATTGAAAAACGTTGAGTATTTATACTTCGAAGACACTGGCCATACAAATCAATTGGATACTCGGGTCGTTCTTGACAATTGGAAAATGAGGTGTTTCACAACGCAGTTCACTACAGCGCAGTGTGCCCTGGTTGACGTGGACTTTTAACGACGAGTACCTGCTCGTAGAGCCTGTGAAACTCAAGTTCACTAGAACTATTTTCTTGTTTACGACCTCTTTGGGGGGGCTAGAAGACTGCGCTTGGTCCGGTAGACTCGATGTAGACGAAAGCAAGCGCATGGTTAGGCACAGGAGCAGGACACTTGCTTGACCAAAGGTGGTAGACTCCCTGAACATATTGATGCGAAGTATTAAAAACTTCTTTTCAACTCTACAAAAATACAATGTGCAAGAGATGGAGGTGGACACTTGAAAAAGGACGCGCTTGCAAAGTATGTGCGCTTGCCCAGCGTGAAGGGTTCAACAGTTCTAATTGTTGCTTCATAGATTACTGCTTTTCTTTGATTACATTCATAAAAGTGCTCACCTTTTTTACAGAGGTTTCTTGCGTGAGGCATCCACATCGCATTCGCTCCTCTGAAGTCACCGTCGGTCTCCCGCAGTGTGGTGGCCGCCATGCAGGAAATCGCGTAGCCTCGGTCATCGATCGAGCTTCGCTCCGCCAGTGCACGCTGATGTCTCGCTGTGTGATCAGCTTCCTTCACCATACGAGTTGCCATGACTCGATGTAGACGGAAGCAAGTGCATGGTTGGGCACAGGAGGAGGACACTTGATTGACCAAAGGTGGCGGACTCCCTGAACAAATTGATGCGAAGTATTAAAAACTTCTTTTCATCACTAGCGACACCAATACAATGTGCAAGAGATCGAGGTGGACACTTGAAAAAGGACGCGCTTGCAAAGTATGTGAGCTTTCCCGACGTGAAGGGCCGTGTATATTATCTGGCGCATAATTTAGAACAATATAGCAGCTGACAATGCTTATCTAGCTAACTTCCTCAAATACATCATTTTCAACAGTTCGAATTGTTGCTTCATAGGTTACTGCTTTTCATTGATTACATTCATAAAAGTGCTCACCTTTTTCACAGAGGTTTCTTGCGTGAGGCATCCACATCGCACTCGCTCCTCTGATGTCGCCGTCAGTCAACCACAGTGCGGTGGCCGCCATGCAGTATATCGCGTTGCCTCGGTTGATCAAGCTTGGCTCCGCCAGTGGACACTGTTTTCTCGCAGTGTGATCAGCTTGCTTCGCCATACGAGTCGCCATGCAATAGAGCACCTTGTCTGGAAGCAATCCCGCTACGAGCACTGCTCCTTCGGGAAAAGCCGCACACTCCACTTTCAGTGTAGCCAGTGGCATAGCTCCCGCATTGCAGTCGGTGATGACGACGCGTTTCCTGATTAGCCCTCCTGGCGTGATCGAACGAGGCGCGACGTCATACCCTGCTCCCAGCGTGGCTCCGTGCTCCGTGCTCGTGTCCGCGGTCTTCGTCGTTGTTCCTCCACGCAGCGTGATCGACGACGAAAAGCAGAAGAAAAAGACTAGAGACTTGAGCGAAGCCTCCTTAGGAACGTCGGCTGGACTAACAGCATCTTCGTTATGTCTCTTTTGCAAGGAATCAGAATCAATAGATCATTTCTTTTTTTTCTGTCAACGATATTCTTATCAAAGGAAAAGATACCTGGTCGAACGAATTGAGGAGCTAGGTTTAAAAATAAACGTGGAAGTAATTTTATCCTTCGGAGGGATTACATTAGGTTATAGCCACAGAAAGGTTTACTCAGCCGTGTGTGCGTACATAATGGCAACAGAAAGATTACCTTGTTAGTCTATTGTTATTATTATTTACGGCTACGAGACTACCTGAATGCCTGACTTAGCACACTTGATGATCCTGCCGCCCGGTTCTTGACCTTATGCCCCTTTGTGGGCGACTGCCAGCAAAGCTGAAGGCTCATCATCATCATCATAATCATCATCATCATCGTCGAACTTCGGCTGACTGGCTGGAAGCCAAAGACGTGTTCTCAGGAACTGCGCAGTTGAACGTTCCTGCTTTCCTTCGTACTCTTTTGGACGGTGGTTTGGCTGAGCCTTGGGTGAATTTGACCTGTTGAGACCAGCTGACGTTGCACATTACTTGTGAAACAATCGAATTATAGCTAATGTCTAATTTGTCTCCTGGCCAAGGGCACAGCCCTTGGTCAGCCTCCTTGCCTAATGATGACTTGCCATTGTAATATTTTTTCCGCATTGGTGTTGGCAGAATCCCTGTTGCGCTGGTGCCCTCGAGTGGTGGATTTATTAGGCTCAACAACCCGAAGGCGATCCAGGCGGAGTTGCAGGCCATGACGCCGCACTTCCAGCTGATAAGTGATGTTCGTCAGTTCTGAAGAGGTGGTTTAGTATGCAGATTGTCAGATCCTTCATGCGTTTCTGACATCCTAAAGTACAAGACATTTGCTTCGGTTCCGGTGAGTGCGTTTATCCCGCCTCATTTAGAGTGCACTAAGGGAATAGTACGAGGAGTCGACTCTAGATTAACGCCCACTGAGACTCTGGAAACGCTGTCTAATGCTGGGGTCATAGCTGTGTACCAGTGCAACCGATTAGTTGACGGTGAGAAAGTCCCCACTGAGTCGGTTATTGCTATATTTGCCGGCACTTCCTGTCCAGCCGAGTTGAAAATATGGCCACTCATTTTCAGAGTCGAACGCCTCGCTTCTCGTCCTCTCCACTGTCAAAACTGTTGGTGCTTTGGTCACAGTGTAGGGGGTTGTAAATCAAATTCACGTTGTCGCATCTGTGGCGATGCCCATCCATTGAAGAAGTGCAATGCCGAAACAGAAAAGTGCTGCATCTGTGCAGGAAATCAGGCGGCCGATTACCTGAACTGCACTGCAAGGTCCAGTGAAGCGCAACTGCTAGAAATCATGGACAGACGTCGTTGCTCGCGGCGAGAAGCAATAACAGTTGTGAAGGATACGGCCTTTGGATATGCC